TCTGTTATGAATTGGATCTATACAAATAAAACCGAATTGAATTATATAGTAGAGTATATATATGAACTGTACAATACAGTACAGTATACGTATATATGTATGAGCCTGTATATCAGTTTGACTCGGTGCTGTGTTTCTGTCTGCTGGAGAGCTCGTGACTGTCTGTAAGTTGTATATAAATGAGTGTGATGCTGTTAGTGAGAGCTGAGTGTCGGGCAGCAGTACAGCAGAGTGCTGATGGGATGATGGGATACCACAGGAAGGCTCACTGCCCATTAATGGACTCTGTGTGACCAGTAACGTAATTGTTGAAATGAATAAAGGCATTAGTGTGGTCCACAGCGGGGCCGGCTCCTCCGAGGCGAGGCAAAGCTCCGGATATTCCCTGTTTGTTTAAACACAATAACACGAACCAACCGATCAGATCCATCAGCACAAAGTGATCAGGACACTGATCCACCTATGGCCTATTGATCTTATAGTATGATGTAACAGCATGGGGAGGAGAGCCAACTGATCCACACTAATTCAATTCTTTTTAATCTAGAATGAACAACCAGAGCCGCTCACTGGAGAGAACAAACATCCACAAACACGTGAGCTTGTTCGGTTTATCGTCAATAAAGCTATTGATCCTTCCACAATCCACATGCATCACTGATGTCTGATATCCACTGTTTCTCCGGCACTGGCCAATGCTCAGCACAGATCTGCAGTCAGTCAATCTGGAAGTGTCTCGTTCCCTCTGTGCCAATGAACGGCCTCTGAACGGCCTCCGAACGGCCTCTGAGCGACCGCCGAACGGCCCACGATGTGTTTTTCTCATATGTAAATTTGTACTTGCTCTTTATTTTTGTAAAGATTCACTAAAGGTGACCATGTGTGATTAAATAATCAGGATATTGTGTGTGTGTGTGTAAATGTTGTCCACAGATTAAAGTGAATTATCCACAGAGACAAACAGCTCTCAGTCTCTCTCAGTTTTTGTTCAACTCTTTCCACAATCCTCCACACAGCAGACACACTTTAAAGTACGGTGGCCTGAAGGGGTTCTCTTCCAAACCGCCATTAAAACAAACTCATTTCTTCTCGCCCCTTTTCATGCTGAGGTCAGCTCACCGCTAACGACTTTGGATTGACGTCAGCGGAGGAACCGTCTGGTTAATTAAAGCTCAATCAAACTGTGATGAAAAGCCGACAGCCACAGACGATCAGAGTGACATCTTCAGATCAATTATATCCTCATTTAATGACATCACGCTTATTAGCATTCTGATATCTGCTGTATATTTCAGCTCCATACCAAAGCTGGAACCAATATAAACACTGCCTTTATTCCACATGGTTCAATCAATATAACAACATATTATAAAGCTAATAATTAATAATAATTATATTAATCATTAATAATAATTATCGGGAAGCCAGCAGCGCTGACTCTATAGCTAGCTTATAGACGTAGCATGTGACGCATATCGCTGACAGCATGTTTATCTGTGTAATAGGAACCGGGATCAATGTCTTCCTCATATTAAACACATATAGTGGTTTCAGGAGGACCCACGGACCTGGTACTGGACTCAGTGAACATGCAGTCTGTAAGTAACGGTAACTGGAACATAAAGGATCAAAACCACCTGGACCACATTGTTCAGGAACCTGTCCCACAGACTAGTAGCAAGTTCTCCACAAGACCAGGTCCATACTGGACTGCTACGAATAGTCAAATACTGCGACTGTACAGATCAGCTCCATACTGACTTGTACAGATCAGGCCATACTGGACTGTACAGATCAGGTCCTGCACCTTGAATCTCTTGCATCAGGCTGCAGATGTAGAGAACCAAAGTCAACAGGACTGAAAGCTCCTTTGTTCCTTGTACAACATCCCTGCTTCATTTCATCCTATTTTAGCATCTTGCATTCTCGCACTGTTGTTGTATTAAAGCTATATACTATAATATATAACACTTTATCATAGCTATATACTTTATATACTGTATATACTGCTATGAACAGGAAGCCAAACATGCCCTCGTGGGATCTCTGCTGTAGGGCAGACAGGAGGGTGGAAGAAACCTGACTTAGATGTGGAATGTTGGTTAAAGCTGACGCCGACAGAATGAAAAAGCAGAGCAGCCACACACTTTATCCAGGAGCCATGCTGGATTTATATACCTTTTCAATAATTTAAGTGTTATATTCACAGATCTAACGTAAGCAGACCAACAAACACTCCACAAAACCACCAAAGAACCGTTCAAACGAGACTCGAATCTCACAGACGCGACACAAGGAACATCACTGCTGTCTGTATGAGGCTCACTAACTACAAACAATCTCCCTGCAGAGGTCCAGCGTCAGCTGCCCAGGTTCTGGACCAGCATCCACTGGATGACAGGTGCATTAAGGGTAAAAGCCAAGCTCATAGGTCAAACACATAAAAAGAAAACACCTTAACCCCTGTTCTCTCATCCACCAGATCCGAACCAGGATGCCCGTAACAGCTACCAGGATGGGGTAGTGTCTACACTTCCAACCTGCACACACACACACACACACACCACACACAGAAAAGTGCATCTGTTAGTAAAGCAATATGACGCCACAGACTGGCAACCGGTAAAAACTTATTGTTGATATGTAAATTCATAGTAAATGCTGAACTTATTATTATCTTCAACGTTGGTGCCCTTCTAATCAATATAATTGCAGTTTAAAAAATTAATAGCTAATCAGCTGCTAAATAACTGTGGTGTGTGTGTGTGTGTGTGTGGTGTGTTGCTGTCTACCTGCAGTCTCAGGTGACGACCCGGATTCGAACAGGTTCTTCTCTGCTGCACTCTGGTTTAACACCTGGTTCAGCAGCTGCAGGAGGGGAAACATTGATCTCAGTCACTCTACAGAAGTCTAGTGAAGTTTCCAGCAGTGCGCCACCTGCAGGCCACAGTGGACACCAACTGACCCAGTTTCAGCTTCAATTATAGTTTCATTATACAATCACTGTCAGCGTGGAGAAGCACCGAGCGCAGGGAAGTGACTCCACCTGACGAGTCGCTTGAGCAGCAGCTCTGCAGAGGGCCGACCAGTCCAGGAAGTCTCTGGGACCAGATTGACCGTCAACTCCAGCACTCGCAGCAGACTGACCGACAGGGCGAAAGCAGGTCGACACACACCTTGGAACCAACATACATGCACAGTTTGAGCTCAGCCAGCGGGCCAGAGCCATTCAGTGAAGGGTTGGAAAACGAATGTCATTGAAACCAAGTCTCACAACCAAGGCAGTTTCCTTTCTACACAGTTTGTATTAGTCAATAGAAGAAAGTGCTTCATTACTGGAACAATCCACCTGTAAATATTCCCTCACATCATCTTCCCACCTGCTGTACATTAATAAAATGTTACTCTAAAGCATTCCAATGACTTAAAACCACAAACTATGAATTGAATCAAACCGTTTTCATGCTCTGTCCTAAAGTATTGATCTCTGATTCTGTCTCGATATTTACGGTTCTTCATGTCAATGAGACTGAGAGGAAGACGAGATGTACAACACATACTAATAATAAAGAATTTCCAACACAAAACTAAAAATATCAGCATTTCCTGAAAAACTGGTTTGTGACTCATCTGAAGATAGGCTCCGAAAATTTGGTTGTTCAAGAGGTATCGACCCAAAAAACGTACAGACTTCTGACCTATATCTAAAGTCTGACCTCTGCTTTGTATCTACAGCACTGACCTGTACCCTGTCTTCTGTAACTTGTATTAATTTATCAAATTGGACTGAATCAAATATGTATTAACTGTGTCTGAAAGACAATTAGTGCAAAATTATATAATATGCCAAATATGGATTTCACTTAAAACTATTTGACTTATGCCCTTGTATCTACAGCACTGACCTCTGTAACAAAGGTATTATTGCTTATACAAAAATCAAACTAAATTATTCATTGATTAAACATCACGCTGTGTGTTCCCACCAATGTGAATGCAATTATTTGCATAAGGAAGTTACATACGAATGTCATGCAAATTAACCAATGGGGCAAATATGCACAATTTGCCCCATTTGCAGTAAAAAGGATGATTGTAAAATTATTGAACTTTGAGGCGTATTGTTGTGTGGAGAGGCGGAGACCACAGACATGTTTATGACTGACTACCTTCAGCTGACGAGTGTCCACCAAAGTTCTCTCTGGACGCTCTGCAGCCTGTTGGATCTGAAAGAAAAAGAAAGGACACAGTGAGAGAAATCATCATTAAATGTGTATCTGGAGGAAACAACAGTTCAACAGAATTCAAATCACAAACAGTCACAAAATAAAAATACTAAAATATCTGAAATAAAAACAGTTTCCAGTTTTAATGGTCTCCTGTGTTGATAATTCACTTCTTTCTGTTACAAGCTCAATATCTGCTATATTGGCACAAATATAGTCACCACGTTTTGTTTGTCATTTTATATTTTGCTAATTTAAAGATCTGGCCTGGAAAATGAGTGAGAGGAAAAACAGCCTTAATCCAGAATATTGAAGCTAATAAGAGCTCATGGGGGGGGGGGGGGGGGGGGCAGGACCAACATTAAGAATCATCTGTCAAGAAATTAGCATAATAATGAGGCTCAAATATGTTTTGTGGCTTTTAAATTGCTCCTTTGTTAAAGGATGAAGGTTGCTAACCCCTGGTTCAGCGTGTTAGCATGCAAACATTAACTGATTAGCGGTAAACAAAGTGCAGCTGAGGCTGGTTGGATTGGAGAATTAGTTCTGATGGTATCTGGTTGTAAACACTGACGTGGTAATGGCAGAGGATCAATAAAGTTAACACTTCATCCTGAACCACATTTAATCCATCCAACAGTTTTTCAGTCTGGACTGACAGCTAACGAGGCTAACGAGGCTAAAAAGTGACAGAAAAGAAACACAAAGCTTCAGTTTGCTGTGTATCACTGAGAGAACAGTAAATAGTTCAGCTGCTGTGCTGAAAATACACTTTCCCACAGGAATAGGATCAATTAGGATACTAAGTGGTGCTAAGTTGGATGATTCACAGAGTATTAATGAGGATTTATCTAAAACCCAAAATAATCTCATTAGAGGAAACAAACACAGCGCTTTACTCTATTTTTAAATGTGGACTGCATCCGCTCTTATACCAACACTGATTGATGGAGGCTTCTAGTGTTCTTTTTTTGGCCTTTGATAAATACAAATTTATTGGAGCATCGCAGCCGAAATGTACAGTATATAAAAACATAATAAAGCAGTAATATTAATCCAGTAACATCAGATAATAAACACTACAGGAACATTTATTGCACTGGGACTCCTTTCAGTGAATGTCACTTTAATACTTTGACCTCAGTGAGGTTTATAACACAGTATTTGGTTATTAGTACTGAATGGACCTGAATACTTCCTCCACCCACAGCGAGACCTCTGGTTTTATTTTAATTGTCTTTAGCCTGACTCATAGCTCTAACTAACTCTAGCTAGTGTTACATGACTGTAACATAAAGTTTTTGTATCTTTTCTACACAAAAAGTAACTGTTCTACTGCAACCTGAGCTCATCTACACACTGTATGACCGACTGAAGGAGCCAAACCACTCCTCTGTTCACATAAAGATGCTAACAACATTAAAGTTTTAAACGTCTCTTGTTAGAATTGGAGAAATGTGGTGCTACTGTTGATGTCCAGCGTGAGGAGTATAAATCGGACCATGCGATGTTCTCTAACCTCTTGGATCATGCCGATGAACTCGGAGAAGGCCCAGTTGAGCTGGTTGAGGACACTGTTGAGGAAAGAGGCAGCCATGTCTTTGTCCATGCTAAGCAGCTCTGCCATGTGTCTCTGTAGCAGCAACGACGGACATGGCTCTAAACCAATCAGACAGGGGAAGAAGACAGGTCAACAAACAAGACAGTAAATGTTTGATTTTTAACTGCGTGTTCCTCAGAGGAGGACGGGAGGGGGACACAGCAGAAGTGGACAACCTGCTGGCTCTCCATGGCACAGAGCTGCTAGCACCCTCCTAGCAGTGGAGGGTTTTACCAGGGTTCAGGGTTTCCATAGAAAAAGCTCAGGAAGCAACTGTGAGCTCCCTTTTAAACATCACTGTCATATAATATCCATAGGAAGGTTTCCATTAGTGTTTAATCACCTGAATATAAGAACTGTTGTGTGTTTGTTACCTTAGAACGAGACGTTTTTATCTACCAAGGGAGCGGGTCCTCTTCTGGTGGAGCCATTTGAACCAAACAAACACTGGATCTATATATGGTCTTTCATGAGCCATAGTTTCTCCTACAGGCTGGGAAGGCTGAGCTATATTCAGTTGGTTGTAATCTACAACTTCACCACTAGATGCCACTGAATCCTACACGCTGGTCCTTTAAATGGAGGTAGAGACATGAACCAGACGTTTAATAAAACGTCAGCTTGAACCTGGATTAAAACAGTTATACAGTCCGTCCACCAGCATGAACCTAGTGCTAGTTCTGGGCTAATGCTAGTCCGGATCCTGAGAACTTTCTAAGAACTGGTTTAATTTTTCCTGGGCTAGAGATCCACCATAGAGCCCCGGCCCCGGTGTAAAAAGATTATTAGTGTTCATGCTTAAAGGTCCAGTCTGTAGGATTCAGTAGCATCTAGTGGTCAAGTTGCAGATTGCAACCAGCTGACTACAGCTCGCCTTCCAGGCGGTGGTCAGCTGGTCAGCAACCTTAACTATTAAAAGAGCCATTTTAGCACCAAAAATAAAAAATAACAATCAGTGTGGAGCCCCGAAACATATTTCAGCCGTATACTGCTAATAGATCAAACACTGATAAATGAAACTGTTAAAGAATATGAACCTATGAACCTATGAAATCCTGGAGGGACTTTTTTATTGTGTAACAGCTGTAGTCCTGGACAGATGTTACCTCTGGACCATCTACAGGAAGGTTTATTGATGTGAACTGTCCCTGTTCAATAAACCAATAAATAAATATGAAATAACAGATAAGATGAGACAAGAGGAATATTTTGGGATCAGAATGAAATAATCCACCATCTCCATCATACTGAGACAAGAGAGGAAACAGGAGGGAAGAGGGGGAAAGGATTAGCAGGAGAGAGAGAGCGACAGAGGAGGAGGAACAGAGGTGCATAGAGAAGAGAAGCTCTCCTGTGGGAGACGTGATGGGAACACTGTGAAGGGTTTATTAAGTCTAATAATCCCAGTTTGTCCTCCCGTCCTCCGACTGCATCCCACAAGGATCCAATCAACCCTTCTAAAGGCCTGAAGGACAGTTTATAAACCCAACCATACCCAGAGGTCAAAGAGGAGAAATTATACTGTATTATACTTTATACTTCTTACTACATTTATCCTTACAGGTTGAACATAAAAACACAGATGACTGTTAGAGATTAGCTAACTGTATAGAAAGTATATGTTCGCAGGACTTTTACTTTTATTGGAGTATTTTTATTTTGCAATATTTCTGTTTTTTCCTGAAGGGAAGTGAAGCGATAAAGCTTTTGAAAGGAGACATTTGTCTCTTTAACATTAAATGTTTAATAAGTAATAAAATGCTCCCTTACTCAGTTCAACACACTCATCTTCACTGGGTCTGCTACAGCCAGCAGCTAATGTTAGCAGCTTCAGATGGATATTATTCACTTCACTGACTATGACTCTGCTCATGCTACTGGTCAGGTCAGAAACTCACTCAGCTTCCTCCTTTCCTGTACTTCCTAAACTAATCTATGTTATAAAGACAACCACATTTTGAAGAAGGATTAGCCTAGCACATAGCATATCTAAGTACATGAGAGGAGGAAGTTGACCGAGCGTCTGAAGGTGGCTTGCTCTACGGTTATTGGAGTAAGGAGCAAAAAGAGGCGGGACTTAGAAAGGGTTAGTTATATATCATTAACATAACAAATGAGTGCTTCTGCACTTTGCATAAAAAAGGAGAGCATGAACTATAAAAAGATAGACGTCTACTGATGATGGGATGTCACATCCTAACATTCACTAACTAGGATCACTGGTGCTAACTATTAATGAGACAGAGGAGCTTCATGTGAGACACGAAGGGGACAACTGGTACCAAAAGAGCTAAAATAAATGAAGACAGCTGAACAAAAATGGCGATGATGGAAAAGAACTTACTTTGGAAACTAGCAATGGACAGATCCCCTGAAAGACATGCAAATGAGAAGGCACACAGATGATAGTCAATTATCATGCAGGAAGCAGAAAACCACAAGAAACAGGACCACAAAACGAGATAGAGGGCAACGACACAGTGGTTAGCCTAGCGTAGCACAAAGACTGGAAGCAGGAGGAAATAAAAAATATGTTTTCCAATAAGTCCAAAACTTTACATCAGAAGGCAAATTCATCCTGACTTTGGTTGAGCGGACAGAGTACGAGGACAGGTTATCTGAGCTCTGATAGACTGAAAGGAGTCATTTCCATCTCTGAGTACTCGGAAAAGAAAACATAAGAATATGGTCTGAAATTATCGACCAAGTGAAATGCAAGTGGGGTGAGGGTTGTCGAACACATTTGGCTGGTTTACTTTCTCTGTGGGCTACACCAGTTCATTCAGTTTCACTGCACACATCGTCTCCCCTCCTATAGTAGCTCTCCGTGACGTTAGCTTGCACTCCAGACCAACATTCAGCTGGTTTAGTGGGAGAATATCTCCAGTCACCGTTTGTTATGAGCTGCTTATCTTTTCGTCACAACGGTACTTGCTAACACTGCTAACATTAGAAGCTAATATTGTCTCCACAACGTCCACATTAAACCGAGCACTGTTTGTTGTTCAGTTGTTGCTGCTGCAGGTTATACAGTTATGTTATTTAGTTATTTATTTAAAGTCTCTTTTTTCTTGGGTCAAATGAATCGCAGTTTCCAAGGGACTCTATAAAGAATGTATAAAACATTTCCTGCAGGTGTGTCTGTGTTTATTTGTGCTTTAGAACGTGACCACTGTGAATCAGAAAATAAAGTTTTGTTTGTCTGATTTACTGCTTTGTTCTCACTAATGCGCTCCCTCTCCTCATTCACTCTCTTGAGGAGTTTTTATTTTTTTAAGGGTGATGACATAAAATATGATGATGATGATGATGATGATGATGATGATGATGACGACAGCCCAAAAAGAATAAAACAAGACAAAAAGACTTAGATAAAGGGAGCAGAATTAAACTAAACTGGATCTTTCGCGGTCTGAACAGTCTTCAGCTCTGGGATGGTTAAGAGACCTTTCTTTGAGGACTCAGCAGCTTAGGGTTGTTAAAGTTTAAATCTTTAAATCTATTCTTAAAAGAATAAGTAGCCTAGTACAATCTGTAACTGTCTGAACAGTTAAAGCAACAATATGTAACATAAAGCCAAAGTCAGACAATATGTTCCACAAGCTTCACAGTAATGTTAGCGTCCCCGTGTCAACCAGCCCAAACTGGTCTATAGGGAAAATAAAATAGGTATAAAGTATATATATATAAAGTATATGGTAAAAACATTATATTGTGATTAGTTTGATCTTGTGATATGATTCATGATTATTGTGGGAATGATTATTTTTATTTGGACTGAAAAAAAGTATAAAAATTATGATCATGTGACATGTTTGGTCTCTGTAGTAAACCAACATGTTTTCTACAATCTGGAGAAGATTTGTAGGCAGAACTTCATTATATTGTTATTTTATCACACATTGCAGTATTGATAATATTTGGATCATCTGTGCAGCCATATTGTTAAAGACAATAAAATGACCTTGAATCCTTCAATGTATCCTGTTATGTTGCCTAATAACTGCCAGAAGATTGTAGCTCTGCACTGGAGCTTTTATAAATCAATTAACTCCAAACCTGGTCTGTGCAACTTTGTTTATTCACTGTATCCATGGAAACGACATTGAACGCTGCCATAAAGGTTCCCTTACACAAAAAGGTTTACATTTACCTTTCTGATAACTCCATTCACATTCCACTCCATACCTAAATTTTATATTTAAGTAAACAGAATCGGGGAAATACAAACATTTTTGCATCTCTTTAGTTTTTTCCATACTTATCCAGACATGGAAATTTGAACCAGGAACAAGAAAGGAAAAAGAAAGAGGATCAAGGGGATTTGCCGAAAAGAGAGTTCGAAACAGACGAACAGCAAGAGAAAGTGAGGGAAGGAAATATTATTGATTTATTCATTTGAGCTAAACTCTTCTTAGGGCCACGGACAGCTGAGAACACGCTGCTGGTTGTCTGTGGACTGGAGCCTCCCCGCTGCTCACAAACAGCCAGCGTATAAAGAAATAAACACAGAGAGAGAGAGAGAGAGAGAGAGAGAGAGACCACCTACTCTGAAGACTGGGGAGGTTGGCGTCCTCAGGTTTGGTTTTCAGGAGGTGAGGAAGACGAGTGTATCTGTAGCCAAAACCACAACCCTGAAAAACAACACAGAAAGCTCAGACGGCGCTTTATCACGTACGAGCAGCGCTGGTGGAATATATTATAATATATTATTACCACACTATACACATACTCTGTTACAAAGGAGGAGTCAGGTCTATATATTCTATCTTATAAACAGCTGGGAAGCTGGTGTTGGTGCTCACCCTCCACAGCCGGACCAGGATCCAGTTGGTCTGGGCCCAGGGTCTCTGTTCATACGGAGCCAGCAGATTCCTCATCATGGCAACGCGCCTGAAAGCACACAAACATCCGCCAGTGCTAAAGTTCAGCCCATCAGAGTGTGACAGAGAATACACAGCTCAACTATCACGTATAGATACACAGAAATCAATCACAGATGAATCACAGATCTATCAGAGATCTATCAGAGATCACAGATCAATCAATCAGAGTTTATTAAAACTGACAGTTTTAATAAACTACAGTTTGTGACCTGAAGAAGACTCGTTCCTGCACTAAGACTTTACTCTGATTACTGAGCTCCAGTAGAGCCAGATCCTTCCTCTCCTGATGACTCTGAGCAGTCAGACAGAAAACACTCACTGTTCCTCTGGGATCCTCTCCACTGCCCTGAGGGATTGTGGGTAACAGACGTAGCTGGCCAGGGCCTGCATCAGAGAGTCTTTGATATCTGAGAGAACGAGAGACGCAGATTAATCAGTGCAGCTCAGGGTTCAATAACCTTCGACCCTAAAAACATATAGTATGTTTCATTAGTTCCACTGCTGAGAAACATACGGCTGGTATCTGATTCTGGTTCTGATTAAAGAAATGGAGGTGAAACAACAGAAAACTCTATCATGCAGCACCGTACACAGACAGGAAGGTCTTCTGGATTCTGGTTTAGACCTGAACTCAACCAGTTATCTCTCAAGGACCAGGACCAAGACCAGGACCCAGATCAGATCAGTCACATCTGGAGTCTGACTTCATAAGTTGTCTGAGGAGAGTCCAGAGACCGGCACCAACCTGCGACAGCTGACTGTCAGTGTGAAGGAACAGTGTGAGCGTTACCTGTTCCGACGATACGTGGATCCGCAAAGTGCTTGGCGAGGATAGCAGCAAGCTGAGTCAGCGTTTCTTCGTAGCCTGAGGATGTAAACACACAAACTGCTGACTCACCGATCGAGTCAATAAATCAATCAACCTCAGGATCCAGTAGGAACACAGACCATCAGCACCAACCAACACAACCTTACACTGTTCATCCTCAGCTTCAGTCTAACCCTGTGCCATCAAACCCCTAGGGGTACTTAAAGTACTGCAGGGGTTATTTGAGATTTATTTTTCTAAATGTTCATTTATAGAATATTTCCCATGCATCATTTCTAAAATAATTTAACCATAACAAGTTCAATAAAACATGTTAACTTGGAGCTAGCTGACTGTATTTTGCTAGCTAGTGTTGCCCACTGTTGACACTGTAGGGAAGCGGAGATGAAGGCACT